GGCGCCGTGGGTGGAAACTTACAGATTAAGGGGCGGTAATATTATAATGAGATCCCTTTGCCACGTCACCAAGGGAGCGAAATCAGACACGCTTGTTTTTTCAGACGCTTGCAGAAAAAGGCTAACCAAAACAAAGTTACTGGGTTAATCTTTTTCACGTTCCCCTGGTTGGTAGATGCACCGGGGACCTGATTATAGCACTTAAAACCGGGAAAAGTCAGATTTTCATGATATGTCACCTTTAAAATGAATTTACCTGATATGACTTCAAGCAACAGCATTAGTTTGAGGCCATTCCTGAAGTCTTCCTCTATGTTCTCAATCTGTGTCCCAGCTTTCCTCAGGTGAGAGTTGCACCAGGCCGTGAACGTCTGGGAAACAAGTACAATATATGTCAACATACAGTTCTCCAACCTCACATGGACACTTAGTTTATGTCTTACCTGTCATGCACACTAACATGCAAATCCTCGTATACAAGTCCTACAATCATTGACATAGCATATGTATCCTACACTGAATATTCATCAAATGCAGAATCCTTGCACAAAACCACAGTGTTCAGTTACTAAACCAAATGTGTGACAGTAGACCAGATTTAATCTTAAAACTGTTAATTCCTAACAGGTTTGTTGTGATACAATGAATGCCTTTGACACCACTTTCAGGTCAAAACCTCAAGGCATGCGTGACTGCAGAGGACCGTGCCAACAAAATGAATCTTATCTGGTGGCTACGCCAAGAGAGGAAGTAGTAGGTAGTTCTTGCTCTTGTCCAAACTCCTGTACTTTATTTCTTCAATGATCTTTGAAAGACATTCTAATTATTCTAATTAATCAGATCAATCAACAAGACAATAGAATAGCAATGGCATTATAAAAAAAAAAAACACACACACTTGCACTGAACACATGAGCATCTACACTTGAGTTGAACACTGAGTTCATCCTCCAGAAATAACCTGCACTTAACTACATGTACAATAAACTACAAAGCTGGAAACTGCCAGCTGCTGTATAGCATCCTCTGCACCATCCTATGATTGCTCTCCAAAACCACTTTTAAAGGATTTGGCACCTTAAATTCAGGAACATCTTCCCACACATCATTATCTAAATTCCAGAGTGAATAACATTTTGTCCCCTCAGGTTAATGCTATTAGATTATGTGACCACCAACAGACACTAGTAAGTGTCATTTACTATTGAGCACAAAGGGTTCAGAGTAACCGCTTCAGGCCCTTTACTATACATTTAAAGCAAATTATAACTCCATATACTGGCCCTTTGCTGCCAGGGTCGAAAATTAACATTCATCAGGCACCAAAAGCAGTTAAAATTAATCAAATAAAATTAAATAAAACAAAATAAGAGGAATAATACTAAAATGGGACTTCACATATTTGTGACAGGTGCAGTTTCATAAAGAGATGGAGACTGGCTAATCTTGAGTTACACAATGACCTGTGTTGCTTGCCACAAATATGTTAGTAGCTAGCTGCTACTGTATATATTCCCACTGTCACAGGGATATAGGATATATATACACAAGTTTTCTCATTTAAAATGAACAAAAAGTTCATTTTGGATTCTGCACACTGCATTAGAATAACAGGCAAATCTAATCTAAATGACAAACGTTATGATCCAGTAATGTCGGGTACCGTTTCTTGGAACAAAATGTGGCTGTACTGCTGCCCACATCTGTATTAGGTTGTACCCTCAAATCCACCGCTACCCTTTGGCCATTTTTTAGACTCAATGGAGCGTCTTTTTAATCCCTCAAAGCAGGTTCAGTCATTGCTGGGCAGATGAAAGCTTTACTGTGGACTCCAGAGTGCATTCCTGCGAGGTAAGAGTGTAAATTTAGCTCTCTCCGCAGAGTCTGTTTCTGATGAGAGACCTGATGAAGTAGGCTCACACTGAGGAAAGAGATACGAGTGAGAATGCAATGTATATAATGTGTGTATTGCAATGCTGTGTTGTCTAATCGGACAGGAAAGAATTTCATTCATTCTGGAAAACTTTAGGGTGTGTCTGCACAACATGCCTGCGTGGCGCAATGGTCTAGAAGAATAAGAAAGAATGATTAGACCCTAACATTACAGATCAACAAGCCAAGCAATATAAGTCTATGTTTAACATTTGAGCCATAGCTATTTACAAATATCTAGTGAGTTGCTTCGGTAAGAAAGGATCTGCTTAGTATAAATACAGTAAGTGAGGTTCAGTTTAAGGCCTAAATTAATTCTATTATCACCCAACTAGGCCTGAACAACCAATCATGTTCTATTAAGCCAACCAGATTTAACAGAGGATCTATATGCAGACCACAGGTCCTGTAGATTAAGTGGAGACTAACTTCCTTCCTAAACTTTTTTTTTTTACTTAAATGGGGCTGCATTTTGTGAATAATATAGAAAAAAAGATCACTAAGGTCATGTAAAATTGTCTCAGATATATGTGGTCTGATATGCAAGTGTAATCACCAAACATGCCAAAAAATATTACAGGTCAAATACTCATAAATTTACTAAATTAGTTCTGAAAGTGTTTAATCATGACAATCAATGTACATGTTTTACAGCTCAGAGTGAGGGAGAAGGAATGAATCAGTTTAAGTGAAGTTGAGCCTGCAAGATGGAGAAAGTTCACTTATGTGGTTCTAGTCTATAATAGGATTGAAGCTGTGGATTGTTTAGATATCCCAGTTTGTGATGACTCTGACCATTAAAACTCCGTCAAACAAAAATCTATCATACACCAAATGTAGAGTTTGATATGAAATCAGTTATAGTAGGCTACATGTCAGTAAAGCACCTGTCCAATGCAGTTCAGTATATATCTAAAAACACTATTATAGATTACTACACAATAAATAAAGGCGATTTCCCTGCCAAGGACACCGGATTAAGCTACTATAATGCCTTTTGGTGGGGGAGCTAAAATTAGCCCCTGCATCCATTCTAATCCCAAGGACGTCATCCTGTGTTGGAAGCATCTGTTGACAGTCCGCATTCCAATCGTATCAGCAACAGACACGCAGAGCCGCGCGCTGCTGCGCTATTGTTAGTTCGGTACCCGCTGCATCCATCCTCAGCACGCGCTCCCGACAGCCGGAGCCAAACCAGACCCCTCCGTGACACTGACAGACCACAGAGCCCATAAAGGGACGGGATTCCTTCGCAAACAACTGCTGAATCTAAGCTAAATGACAGCTTAAGATTGATAAATAAATAAACGTACGTATTAAAAACTAAGTATTAATACTATTAAATAATTATATATAGTAAATAATTATATGAAAATATATCTACGAAAATATAAAAAAATACACATGAAAATAAATTAAAGTTTGAACATTTACATAAACTTACACTTAAAGTTAAATGATATTTCTAATTTAACTAATTATCTGTAAATCATTATATAATTTAATATTTAAGTGCAAATTAAACAATTCTTACCTTCCGTTGCTGCTTTTCCCATGCTGGATCCAGCAGTAAATCCCGGTCCCATTCTTCATCCTGCATCATGTAATCGTCCGGTTCATATCCATTATCATATGGAACCGAAAGCTCGATCTGATTCATCATTTTCAACCGTTCAAGCGTTATATTCTCCTATTTGATGGGTAAATTGTGATATGCGGCTTCTAAGCTTGAGTTTTGGTGTAAGTGGACTCTTCGGTGCCTCAGGTGTCTCTTTCGTTCGTGTTGGTTTCCAGTCTCGCGGCCGCAGTGCGCGAGCAGTGACAGCAACGAGAGGAGCGGCTGTCAATTAGTACTGATGGGTCACATGACCTCTTCTCCTTCCACCCGCGGGACCCACAACACTCACAATCGTTATTTTAACGTTAATGTAACAGACAAGCAAACTTCTCCATTACATTTAACAAATGCAGTCACACCTTAAAAGCTGCCTAAACTCACAATATTACATAACTCACACAGATAAATCTTTTCAAATTAAAGTAAATAAATCTGTAAAAAAAAAAGCGAGCTTCGCTGCATCACTGGTTCTACCAGAATTGCTTAGATTGTTTTATTGTGTTCTGTTAAAAAGTTAATTTTAGGTATAAATAATTTATGCTGTCATTTCAGAGATCAAAGTCTCAAAGATGGAGCTGTACATATCGGTTTATTTCGGGAACTTTTTCTATGCAGTCAATCCGTTTTGCAGTTCTTTAAACTGTTGTTTTCGCTTGCAAATCACTGTTCACAGTCTTGCAGTGCTGTTGACCGACTTTTGGCGAAAAAAAACGTGCCAAAAGTGTAAGCGCAGAAAAATGGAAGTCAGAAGCATGCAGATCATATTTATTTTGCGTTAGCATGAAGCTGCAGTTTCACAATACATGAATTACACTTACCAGTAACAGTAAAATGCTGCAAATATTTTTTTCTTGCGCTTGAAACGCGATTTACACCTTTACAAAGCTTCTCTTGCGCATGCAAATTTAATTTACGCTTACAGTCTTATGTACACTTCCACAAATATTACCCTGCGTATGCAAATCTTTTGACGTCATTCTACCTTCATAAAAGTCACTTTAAATAGTGTTTATAAGGCAGGCTATATAATAGGGCAGGCACTGGTAATAAACCTGGGGCAAGTTCAAGCTCAAACCGGTGTGCACCGTTTTGCTACGGTTTCCGGTTTGAACAACATGTTTCCTGGAAACGGTGTGCAACAGTGTGCAAGGGGTTTGAGATGCCTTTTCTCTTGTTTGGTGGGTGTGTCAAAAATGTCAGCCCAATCAGCAGCAACATGTATGTAAACCACGCGGTATTAAAGAGACAGCTGGCACAATGTAATTAACATCCAAATAAATTCACAAGAGCAAGTATATTGTTTGCAC